ACAGTTTGCATGACATTATATTAAATAATTTTATGGGTTCTACTATTACATGTACAGGTATGTACCTAACGTATTAAACTCGCCATATACATTATGGAAGCGGCAGCTAAAGTAAATGTAATTGTTGCAAAATATGAGGTTTTATCGTATGATCTTATAGTTGGTAGAGACTTTCTTGACCAACCTTGTATATTGGTGGAAAGAACGTGATGAAACTGTTTCCTTAAGAATGCTACCGTATTTAGTTGAATTAGTCTTGTTGCTAAAGAAGTTGTAGATAATATTGGTGATGCCAAAGATATTGACATCGGTGATGAAGATATTAACTCAAAAGATTTATGTGTCGGCATACTTAATGAATTTTCAAATATAATTTCATCTTCGTTAAAAACCTTGGTAAGAACAATGACTTGATCTACGTTCACTGTCACAGAATCTCAGATCACTTTACGGAAGGTGAATTGGTTCTGACATATGTAACAAGTGATGTCACTATGGGCACCAGTAAAATGTTGCTACCTAAATTTAAAGGGCCATTCCGTATAACCAAGGTCTTTATCAACGATAGATATGAAGTCGAAGATATGCGAGAAGACTTTAGGTCAGGCAAGAGAACAGTAGTCGCCCCAGATCATATAAAAAAATTGATTACTTTTCAAGTTGGAGAGAGATCCATGGATCTCTAATTGCATTACGATGAGATCAACGGATCTCTAACTTCATTACGATGAGATCAACGGATGTCTAATTTCATTACGATGAGATTAACGGATCTCTAATTTCATTACGATGAGATCAACGGATCTTTAACTCCATTACGTTGAGATAAACATATCTCTAACTGCATTACTGCGAGATCAACGGATCTCTAACTTCATTACGATGAGATCAAGGGATCTCTAATTTCAATACGATGAGATCAACGGATCTCTAGTACGACGAGATAAACAGATCTCCAACTTCAGTACTATGAGATTAACGGATCTCTAACTTCAGTACGATGACATCAACGGATCTCTAATATAATTCCGATGAGATTAACGGATCTCTAGTACGACGAGATCAACGGGTCCCTAATTTCATTACGACGAGATCAACAGATGTCCGAGTAATCTGAGGACAGGTCAAGTCTCAGGATGGCCTAATGTAGAAAAGAAGTCCGCCCGAGAATCGATGACCGGCGACTAAATTTTCACAACATTCACTATTTGTGTGATGCAAACCTTTCGTGGTACAGAGATCTCGGTTCCTGCAACGGTTTTCAGTGAATGTGTGGTGTTGTGTTTTTGGTGACATAATTTTGACGTAGTTTGGAAGCAGGTTTATTAACACATGGAAACAACTTTGAACAATTTTTGTAGAGCATATCGTCTATTGGTAAGTAATTCGTTTATTCGTTTAATTTTTGTGTTACTTTTAAACGACATTTGAATAAATTTCAGCATTTTGGAACACAAAATTTAAACCGTCAAAACCGCCATCAGAGCGCTTTCGCATGTGGCGCGCGGCAGCTGGCCGCTGCACCAGGGGCAGCTTTAAATTTGTTTAAACCTTAATGTGACAACTTTTTTTTCAATTTAAAACGTAATGTATTAGACCACCAGTTGCTTAATAAAAGTTACTTAATTTCGTATCATCTATCACCCTTCTCAAGGAAAGCACTTATTTCAGAAACACTCCGTATATAGGAATATGTATTAAGTTTCCGAATAGATCGGTACATTGATTAATTATTTCCTACTTATAATTTTCTCGAAATTCTTATAATATTTTTCTCATTGAATAAGTGCGAATTAACTGTAGATATTAGTACTCATTCATGGACGATTTCAGTAGGTACTGTAGATTCATTGGGGCGCAAACAATGCTTTAGTAAGTGCAATAACAGTTAACATTTGCTCTACTAGCTTAGTTTTCGAGATACAGAGCGATAAATTTGAAAAAAGGAAATCACTTTTCAAAATTTTATCGAATTTTGTCGTTTTACGAATATATCTTGGCAATCTGTAAACAGATTTGCATTAAATTTGGTATACAATTTTTTTCATGCAAACCAAGTGCGTCACCGAGTTTAAAAAAATTATAAGTTAATGGTATGGTATCAAAAATGTATAGAAAATATATTTTACTATTTATGCATATGCACTGTTTATGGGCTATTTTCGTTCTTGTAGATATCGCGATGGAGATTCTTCATACTAGATTGGTGAGTTACTACAATAAAGAATGAAAAGAAAATATTTCTGCGACAATGGATTGATTACCTCCGAGGATGTCTCCGAGGTCATCTCTTTCACTACTCCTCATACAAACTCTAGATGAATTATCGCAAAGAAATCGAAAAAGTTTACGTTCTACTGCTACTACTTTATTGAATGCATTATTGTTTGTATTAAAAGAATAAAATTGTTCGTCGCCTTTCTGGATTTCTATGGAAAATCTTGAAAAATAACTTGTTTTTTCATCATTAGTATAATATACTAATATACCATATATTATATGGTGCTATTAAATATTTTACTTCTGCAGGAAAAGGACCCCGCACAAAATGAATGGAAATTGGGTTCCGCTAGATTTGGCTGAAATTGTAATATGTTATAGTTCTCGACATTCTGATGAAAAGTTGTCACGGGCCCAAAGTGATCCTATGGATAGTTTCAGAGATATAGAGGGAGGGAAGTGTGTGATTTTGGCTGTAGGACTGAGTAAGCTTCACGAAGTTTCAAGTTGATGCATTCAAAAACTGTGGCATGTAATGAATTTTGACCAGTAGGTACAATGCTTTTGGGATCGCTGAACCTGAATTCTTGGATAGCTTAACTATCTAAGGTCACCTGGAGGTCAGGTAAAGGTCGTTTCAAGGTCAAACTGAAGAAAAGACTTGTATTGAGTTTTGACCAGTGATTGTATAGGTTTTTGTGCTCGCAGAATCTGAATCTGGAGATAGCGTAACCCTAAAGGTCACCCTCAAGTCAATTCAAGGTCATTTCAAGATGAAACTAAAGAAGAGGCTTGTACTGAATTTCAACCAGTGCGTATACAGGATAATTCACAACTTATCCAAAAAAATTTGAGAATAGATGCGGCATGAGAAATGGAATCAATAAAGTACAAAAAATTTTTGCAAAATCCAAAAAAAATTTTGAAGTTATAGTACATTCAACCACTACATAGCTGGACAACTGTAGTCTCTAGCGTCATTCGCAATACGCGTGGAGAGCCACGTGCCCTCAGCGACTCCGAATACTGAAATCCGATTTTGCAATCGTCGTTGCGATAGTGTTTACCTGTTATCTGTGGTGTTTACAATAGTTTTTTAATAGTTAGTGTCAAAAATGGTTTGCGTGTATAGCAACTCGGAGTTGATGGATATCGTTTTAATTTATGGTGAAGCAAGACAACATTTATATTATGGTGAAGCATTTGTGTTATGGTAAAGCAAGACAATATTTGTGATAGTTTGTAGAAACTGAGAAAGATGGAGCCAAATATGTTTACACGTTGGTTGATAAAATTTTGAACAATTGTTGTAACATCGGGTACGTCAAATGATTTTATTGTTTAAAAACATAAATTACTTTTATTAATTAATAAAGGCAAAAGCAGTTGAATTTGCGGATATAAAATAGGTGCTATAAAATTCTATTTATTTCTTTCCTTGCGAAAGTTTTTGTCCGTTTTTATCACACCGCCATGCCGGTCGCATTGTGTGAGGTCAGGTTTTATAGTGGACCAGTTTCCAGTGCCGTGCAGAAGTGTATTTTTAAATCATTTTGCCCTTTTGATTTTTTCTTTACAAAATTGTATTTGTTTTTGGATAAGTTCTGAATCACCCTATATAAGTTTTTTTGGGGGGGAACTGAATTTGGGGATAGCTTAGCCCTACAAGATCACATTTAGGTCAAGTCAATATCATTTCAAAGTCAAAGTAAAGAAAAGGCCTTTCACGAATGTTAACCTGTAAGTATGTATGCTTTTGAGGTCGCTGAACCTGAATTCGGGGATAGCTTCGCCCTATAAGGTCATCTGCGGGGCTTGAATTGAGATTAAGTCAAATGAAATGTCCTTGACTTGATTTCCCAAGTACGGCTGAACGCTTTCAAAATATATTGGAGGAAGTCATAACAGTATAAAAGTCAATACAGCACAAAATATCCGACAATTTTTTTAATCAATCAAAAAGATTGTTGGATATTTTACGTTATGTCTTCTCCAATAGATATTTTGAAAGCGTTCAGAGCCGTACTCGGGAAAAATTTTAAATTATAGCTAAAACAAGCTAAAAACCTTTTTAACCGAATACAATAGTAATTTCATCTAATTCAGAATTAAAAATGTCTAAATTTTGTCATAAAAATAGCAGCGACGTATTTAAAAAAATTAACCTGATGATGGACCCATCCTTATCTTAGACAGACTGTACATATTCACTATTTTTTTTAATATACAGGCTGTTACAAATTCGCTTCTCACTACAGGGATCTCGGAAACGGTAAGAGGTACGAAGTAGCTGAAATGGGGACAAAGTCGCGTAATCAGGGGACCAACATTATGCCTCTAAAGAATCAAGGCTAACATGATTAGTTTTCTAGATATTTGAAAAAAACCGAAATTTTGGAAATCCGTTCCGAAATTTCCGAAATCCGAAAAAAAAAGAACACTTTGTCATGGCCACTTTTTGCCCTCTATCGCATAATCAATTTTTATATGTAACGTTTCGTCTCCAGAATCATCATCAACTTTATTTTTTTAAATACGACCCTAGAAATGTTATTACATTTTTTGCAAGCCTTCATGATCCCCAATACTGTACTGCCTCAGCCCGAACCAGATTCAGACATTTTGTCTCGAAAAATTCATCCTCGGTGTATTCGTTCCAAATTTATCTAAATTTTTTATTTAAATTACTTTGTTTATTGAATTATCGTACACTGTAAGTGTCGTTAGACCATATAAAATCCATTTAATTATTTAAACTATTACCTACATACTGTAAGAAATATTAAAATAAAATCCGGAATTCCAATAATTTTATATTCACTTAATATTACAGTTTTAATAGCCCGACAATTATGCGACTGTTCGTAGTTAAATCTGCAGTCAGAATGTTCCTTGTTTCTTCTCGGTGGTGATCTAGGTCATGGTCTCCTATTTGTTTATATTAGTTGGCTCGGCCAGGGCGGCGCGGCGGCGAGATCGGGATATGCAAGAATCAGCATTTCTGACACGGCCTTTCCTGACCCTCGAGCGTCCTCGCTCGCCTACAGGTACCGAGACCATACCTAAACCAAAAGAAGTAAACAATTAAACGACGAATGACAGATGGGATTAAAATTAAGATAAGTAAACAGGAAGCTGTGCATTTCTGAACTTTCAGCTCCTCCTAATACATAATATTTACAAATAATACAGTGCACACTGAGAGATTAGTTTAAAATTATTAAGCAAAACAACAAACATAAACAAAGAACATAACAAAGAATAAAATACGCATAATTCTATATTAAACTAAGCTACCTCCAGGTAAGACATCAGGTAGACCCCCCTGGTACTTCCAGTAGTTCCAGTCCTCCCAGCCCCAGAGCAGAAAATCCCCTGCTCTGTCCTCTGAAAGAAAAAAGATTAGTATATCAGGAGGACCTCGGAAGAGACCACCTGTCTCCAGTCTTCCTGACTCAGAGCAAATCGCCATGCCCTGTACCCTAAGCACTTACGTTCGGTCGCTGTCAAAGCAATTTACTATTCGCCCAATGCTCAATGACAACAACCTAGAGCAAATCGCCATGCTCTAAGCCGAAACAAGGACCAGGCTACGCCCCTACATGTACAAGGACCAGGCTACGCCGCCCCTACATGTACACGGACCAGGCTCGCCCCTACATGTACAAGGACCAGGCTACGCCCCTACATGTACACGGACCAGACTACGCCCCTACATGTTCTGTATGCTGGTGTGGTTCCTCCTCATAAGATATCCAGGGTGACCGAATAACTTCAGATATATCAGTAAGCTCATAACTTCCAGCGCCTTGCTTATTCGAAAAGGCCCTCGCCATTTAGGCAGCAATTTACGACTTGTTCCGTGTTTGGTATAGCAGTAAGCCTGCGTTTTGTTCCTTTTGGTACTCATCGGCCAATTTAACCATTCGTTTACGTATCGCTTTAACATCTATCCGGATCATTAGTTAAAACATTAGTGCTTGTAACTCGGAAACTCATAAGAGCCTCACTAGGTGAAAACCCAATGGCATTATTTAGAGTGCCATTTAAACCTAACTGCAAATTTTGGACATTTTCATCCCATTCCCTATTGTCGCGTTTACCTCCCATGGCCGCTAATGAATCAGAAATAATGCGATTATACCTCTCAACTTACCCATTCCCTCTCGGGAGCGCTACCGCGTTAAGGTGATGGCGTATACCGTTTTTTTCTATAAAGGAAGCAAAATGTTTCGATGTAAATGCGCTTCCTTGATCACTATAATGCGTGTGACCACCCCAAAAGTATTAAACATGTCCTTAAATGAAATTATAATATTTCGTGTTTGCGTATCTTTAACCGGGTATAGTAATATAAATGTTGTAAAATATGCATTACCAGCTTTTGTTTTTACCCAAATGGTCAATATGCACGGTATGAAATGGTTTAGGTATTTTGGTATGGGGTGTAAAAACCCCGGACGCTTACCGTGACTTAAAAAATAAACAAATTTTTACATACTTGATTACAAAGCGCCTCATTCGTGGGAACCAGCATTTACTACCAATTAATTCAAAAGTCCCTTCGACACCAAAATGGCCCACATCGTCACGAACCATTGTAAAATTGTTTTTATTTGTCAACTGTTGCTTCAAAAACTCAAAAGCCTCAACATGCCCTTTTTGCCAAGCCCAAGGCACCCCTTACGGAAATATCCCGTAAGATCAAGAAATTGCCTTACATGGTGAATGTTTTGAGGAATCGGGAACTGATTTACCGCTTTTAATTTATTATCGGATCGTCGAATCTTCGAGGTCGAGGTGTTACAGGCTCCGTTGTTGTTAAACGAATCGACATGTTTATATTTTTAGCTGAGCCCACTGCAGACAAANTAATTTTATTACGACAAATTAATTCTTAAGAATGCATATGAACAACCAAAATGTCAACTGAATATTATTATAAAATAGATGTTATTGTTGGTATTGTTACCTTTTATACATGGGTCATCACAAAGCAGTTATCTCGACAACAGCCGGGACATTCGTCAGAAATTAAGAGGGTATATGAAACAAATAACAAAATTACTGTTCTGTCAATAAAATCAAATAAATAGGTAACTCACCGGGAGGTTACACTCCCCCTAACCTTAGGATTCAAGGTATATCCTTCCATACGTTTCCATTACATTAATTAGCAACTATGTATCATTCTTCTTTCTTCAACAACTAGCTAGTGTCATCTGAAATAAGTCGAAGCTCCCCCGGACGCCAACTAGTAAGCATTCCAACTACCGGATGTGTGAGTCATACTATTATTATTATGCCACCTACCTCAACACCACCCAGTATGTGTCAATCAAAGCGCATGTAAGGCCCCGTAGAACTTACAAGACACACTTTGAAGGAACCACAGCCATAAAGACCGGGAACACGTGGCATGCCCTGGGGTTTTCAAAAACATAAACCAGCATGGCATATTACTCACAAATTCACAAATCATTAAACAAATATATTCAAGCTAGCACACAGATGTAATAATCGACCTTATTCGGGCGCTGGCCAGGCACCACTGTCACAAAGAAAAATCTCTCACTTTCGGCGTCCCGGACTACATTTTTGTATATACCCATAAATTACCTTATCCCAAGGGCACATAAATACTTGGCTGGCGCATTCCGTGTATACAGCTGAGGTTTGATTAAAAGCAACCACGATAGTTTCATTTCATAATAAAATATATATTGATTCGTATTATTACAATACTTTAAAAATAAACAAGTGTTACATTATTCTTCAAAAAATTTCAGTAATTGTTCAAAAACATTTTTGTTTTGGCAAAGGTTGAAAATGAAGATCGGCGTAATATTATCGGAATTTATTATATCTGTAACCGCAACTGTGAAAGAGCATGTAATAGTATGAATATCCTGAAAAAAATTGATCGGAATTTGTTTGAATTTTGAGCACTCGAGAAGCCTAGAAATAACTATGGACACAGGAATAATACTCTAATAACACCACCACACATAAAAAAAAAGTTGTCTGAAATATACATGCGACATATGATTTCCGATGTATTTTCGCCCGCTGAACACGAATCCGGAGTCAGAATTGCTCCATCACCCTTCAATTTTCAGCAAAACGCTGAAGAATCTCCTGAAAAATGAAAATTTTCCCTAATGATAGATCTTATAGATGGGTAACGTTCGTTATGAGCAATACAAAGTTTCCTAAAATTTTTGCCCGCTAAATACGGGTCCGTAATGAGGGTTTTTAATCAACCTTCATTCTTCAGCGAAATTCANTGATTTTGTTAATGAAACCCTTGGCTTGATTTTTCACTTATTTAATGACTTATAATAAGTTCTCACAAGGTGTCTTAACACTACTCTAACCTAAACTCTTCTGTCTATATGTGTATAGGGCTTATGTACCAACACCCTCGCTTTCGTCCCGTACCTCAAAACAATGAAGAGGGGGGTTGGACGGAACCTTATGGCGCGTGGCGGAACAGGTGTCACCCAACGTAGTCAAAATAACACGAGTCGGCAATGACGCACGTGGCAACTCTAAGGACGCGGCTAAATTTTCAGTTATAAGAGAGCATTTACTACCAAAATCAATGAAACACCTGACTTTAGTCTTTTCAACCAAAATATATTTAAATTAACTTTGTCAGAAGACAGCAATATTTCTTGTTGAAATCAAGAAGCCTAAAATGATTTGCTAAAACATGAGGGTCTTTAATGTTGGCGGCTTCGACAGTAAATTTGATTTGCACATCATCAATACCTCCCATTATCAAGTTTACACGGTCTTCATCACTTATTGGATGTTTTAATTTATGTATTAGCGCCATTTTACGCAATACACATTCATATAACGGCTCATTCATTTGCGGTTTACAGAATATTATATCTTGAAATAATTTTTACAAATCCCGCCTACATTTAAATTTTTCTTGCAATATTTGACACCATTCAGTCGTAATTTAGATAAGGCCAAGTGAGAGGTTGTTTTATCGTCCCACCCGTGAATTAACGCAAATTCATTTACGCTATTTACCCATTGATCAACATCGTGAAGTAATGGATCAAAAATCGGGATAATATTAGTATTAATAGAAACGTTACTTACACCAGCGATTTTCTTTTCGACCAACCTGTCTAACCCAGCTACCATGGCTGCACCTATTTGAGAAAAACTCTCAGACAAGGATCTGACGAACGGAATAAAAGAAATTCTCGTTCTAGACCTACTTCTAGGGCTACCTTGAGAATGTCGCCTTCGTCCATGGTGTAAACCATTATTCCTACGTGAGCGACCCTTCCCCTTTTCTTCATTTTTGGCCTCACCCCGAAAATGACGCCTTCGTCCGTGGTGAGAACCACCATCCCTTCGTGAGTGATGTTTTCTCCTTGAATCGCCGCCTTCAATACTAGGACTACCATCAGCTCGACCCCGGTGATGAGTCAAGGCCCCACTTTGGCTCCAAGCACTCTCAGCCTGGTCAGATATTGCACTAATAACTTTTATATATTTTTTTTATATAAATATTGTCAACAAAGCGCACAGGTAGATCCCACTTCTGATGTAAGAAATATTAAAATAAAATCCGGAATTCCAATAATTTTATATTCACTTTTCAGTTTTAATAGCCCGACAATTATGCGACTGTTCGTAGTTAAATCTGCAGTCAGAGTATTCCTTGTTTCTTCTCTCGGTGGTGGTCTAGGTCATGGTCTCCTATTTGTTTATATTAGTTGGCCCGGCCAGCGCGGCTGCGAGATCGGGATATGCAAGAATCAGCATTTCTGACAATACATAACTCAATAAGTTGTTGCGTCAAAATTAAAACATTATTACAATTTTAATTTTATTACGACAAATTAATTCTTAAGAATGCATATGAACAACCAAAATGTCAACTGAATATTATTATAAAATAGATGTTATTGTTGGTATTGTCACCTTTTATACATGGGTCATCACAAAGCAGTACGCATACTGTGCTCATACTAATAAGTTTTACCTTTAGCTGCATCCGGGGCACCTCTATGTGGTGACGGTGGGCAACGGACCTCACCATTTTCCCGGCTGAGTCCCCGGATAGCGGTTTTCATGCCGTCATGGCAGCTAAGGGTAATACCTATACGATACAGGGACGCGCACGAAAAGTGCGATTCCCAGTATCGGCGGCTGGACTGAGTGGGAAAGCGGGCTCGCAGTCGTCGTCATCATGCGACCGTAGCTCTGTTTCGGTGGGTAACTTGGCCGTTCCAGAGTATGAAGTTACTGAAAATACTCCGAAATCAAAATCATACTACAAATACTTTAAACTACGTACTATAAATGGAGTTTCAGATATAGTTAATAAGCACGACGTCTTCATGTTTCTGGAGATTCTTCCGAATTTTTCTGAAGACGGAAGGTAAGTGGAGTAAAAAAAGATTTCGTATCAAAGTTCAGCGGGAGAAATACTATGGAAAATATGTATCACAAGCAAAGCTTCAATTAACAAGCTGAGAGTTTTAATTTTCCTGAAGATTCTTCTGAATTTTGCTGAAGACGAAAGGTCGGTATAGAAATATACATTCCGAATCCGAGTTCAACAGGAAAAATGCTATAGAAAACATGTATCAC